CACTATATTTAACTAAATTAAATAAACTCCATGATGTTGAAACACAAGCAAGATTACGGCTTAGTTGCCACAAATTACAGATTGAAGTAGGAAGACATACTCGTCCAAAAACACCACTCAGCAAGAGACTATGCAAAACATGCAATGTATTGGAGGATGAAATCCACTTCATTACATCTTGTAAAGCTTACTCTTCTGAAAGAAAGACTCTTTACGATGAATTTAACAAAATATTTACTAATTTACATGAGATGTACAAAACAGAAAAATTCAAGACAATCATCAACACATCAGATAAACATTTACTGAAAACACTAATCCAATACATTGATAATGCAAACTTGAAATGAAGCATTTAGTAACTTTCTTTGTTTCTTTGATACTATAATTAATTTGTGTTCATGTTTATTAATTTAACTTTATTACTCGGAGCCCAAAAAAGATTGTAATTTCTTTACGGTGATAATAAAGTATTATTGTATTGTATTGTATATATATATTAGACCTTCATAAATTGGACAATTCAGGATGAAATCAAGAAAATATATCCATTTAGACTAATGCTTCACACATACATACATACATGTATGTATGAACATTGACTTCTAGTTGCATTGTTGTTGGTACATTTGTACAACATATATCTACTTAGCTGTGACAAATAAGCAAATATTATATATTCCACAGATCTTTGGCGCTGTGTTCTTAGGTATAGGAATATGGGCTACTACAGACATCTACAGACCAGACATCTTGAAGATCATGGACAACCCTGCCATCCAGAATGGTAGCTATGTTTTAATCGCCATTGGTGCATTTATTTTCATACTGGCTTTCCTTGGTTGCTGTGGGGCTTGTTGTGAAAACAAGTGTATGCTGATTATGGTATGTATATGTGCATTGTTATGTAAAATTAAAATACTTGAACGAAAATGCAGCTAAAATGTGAATGAATATTTATGGATGTTTATACAGGGATTATTATAAGTACTGGTATTACTTATTAAAATATCAATCAATCTCTTTTAATTGCCTAACTCAAGCTTAGGACACTCATTTGTGTACAATAGACTACAAGTCTGTGGCTACACCAAAGGACTATAATCTTCAATATAGATTTTAGACTCTTCACTTTCTGGCTATACCTCTGCCTGTTGTATGTATATATATGTATCTGTGTATATTAATAGAGGACCTTTCAATATCATTATTACAAATACCTGCGATTTTGTCTCTCTGTTTCATGCATTGCATTGTGGTAAATAGAAGACAGCATTGCGCCATGGTAAAAGAAAGACTGTGAAAACATGTTGAATCAAACAATAACAACAAACTCATTAATTCATGTCATGTTTCGGCTAAAAAAAACAATACCATATTTGTTCTATTAGTTGTGCTCACATAAATGAAAAGTGTCATGAAATGTCCTTTTAGAATTCTGTATACAATAATGAAAACTTATGGTTTACATGCGCTTCAATAGAGAAAATATAGGTTTAACCTGCCTTAAGATGAAAGCCTACTCAGAAATAAAAATGCCTAGAATTCATCCATTTTACAATAAATTGTACTCCTGTACAATATTATAAGAATGTTAACTTAAAAGAAAGTTTAGGGGTCACCAGCCTTCTTTTCATATAAATTATAGTTTTGTATGTTATTATTATTGATTGGCAGCCATTTTGTTGTAAGTATTAGGACATTCCTATTGCGGAAATATGATTCCATATTTCAAATTGTTGCCCGGTGACACAGGGTGAAACAATTATATATTATAGTATTATTTTTAATTAAACTGGTATATAAAATATAATAAATGATTAAAAGTACATTATTGTGTTCAATGGAACTGTTTAAAAGTATAATTGAATAATATTAGGCAATTTTTACTCAAAATGGTCCTGCATGTGCTTAACACGCAATACTGTTTTGTGTTACTATGGAACTATATAAATAGCTCCATGATTGTACATAAATATTTAGGAACATTGCCAAGTGGTAATTAGGTTTCTGCCATAATACAACAGTTGCTATGGATACACATGTATTTGTACTGATGTAACTTAGTAGAGATTGATCTTTTGAGCTTGATTTTTTTCCAACCAAAATTTTGGTATTTTTTACGTATTTTTCTATTTTTAATAATTTTCATTGAATGAACTCATTAGCTATAGATCAGGATAAAAATTTTGTGGGAAAAAAAAAAATATTTTTATATGTTTGTGAAGGTTGAAAAACTTAACTAGCCCCTTGAAGGATTAAGCCAACAATAAAAATAGCCCACAAGTTTTTACAAAGCAACATGCTAAATTCTTCCAGTTAAACTTAAGCCC